CCTACATTTCTGCTCATGGAGTTATTCTTTATCCTTTTCTCTGCAAGTAAATATTAAAATCTTTGTACTGAAAAGATTATTTTTTCTTTACTTTACTATAGCTACACCCAGGTCCAATGGAGACAGAGGCATATGGCTTTTGCAATCTGCTTTATGTTTTCTGGTCGCTAACACTGTGTGTCTTCACTGGGCCTTTGTAAGTCGTGAATGAGGTACCTTGGCTTGGTGACGTACCTGCCTCTAAGTTCTGTTTCTATCATCTGTGGAACAGAAACTTAAAGAAATCTGAAACTGGAGTGTGCTGATGTGTCTAAAGTGTTTGGAAGACTGACTAGCCCATCATGGGGACCGAAAAGCATCATCTATGTGGTGTTCTTGGTTTTAATCTGGCTGGTGTCAACAGTGTCCTTTGTTTTAGGTGACCATTGGCTCTTAGAAAAATACACTGAACTCAAGATGTAGGAAGTAACTGAGTCCAATTTTTAATATGCATCATGAACCTTTTAGTAAATTTGACAGGGAGCACTTTTTACTTTTTATTTATATTTACTAATTACCAACACATGTTCACTGTAGACAGAATTAGAAAGGAGTTTTATAAGAAGATGGAAAGAAAATGTCTCATCCTACTGGACCAGTCAGAGTTCACTGGAGAAGCAGAACCAATAGCAAAGTACAGATACACACACATATTAAGAGATTTATTTTTAAGGAATTGGCATCTCTAACTACAGGAGCCAGCTAGTCCAAAATTGGTAGACCAAACCATCAGTCTGGAAACTCAGTCAGGAGTTCATGCTACAGTCTTGAAGCACAGTGCTTTCCTCAGAAAGAAGCCTCGGCTTCTGCTCTTCAGGTCATCTGCTGACTAGGCAATGCCCACCCACACCATCAAGAGTAATTTTCCTTACTCATAGTCAAATAATTAGGTGTTGACCACATATATAAAACACTAGTATAGAAAAAACTAGATTAATCTTTGACAAAACAACTAGATGCCAGATGCTAGCCCTATTGACAGAAAAGTGATCCATTATATCTACTTTCCAGAAACGCCATGTATTAACATGTTATTTGCCTCTGCAGAGATTTCTATTGCTGGGTAATTTTTAAAGAAAGTTGTTATTTTATGGTATGTGGAACTTCATATTCTTGGATTTTATTGAGCATTTTGTCTTGAGCACATTTTCCTCTGGCTAAAATAAACCTTAGCACCTTCCCTTCCACGGAGGGGCAGAATTCCATTTTCAGTGTCATCATTCCACATGTAGCTTGCACAATTGCTTCTTCTTGGACACCTGCATTCGCTGTTTCCAGCCTTTCTCTTAGTAATTTCAAAGAAAGCTGTGGAGAACATCCTTCCCTATTGAGTTAATATCATCCCTTGGTTGTTGTGGACTGATCAGGTCCACAATCTC